GCTGAGATCACAATTGGTTACGATTCCCCTGGCTCTCAATTTTTGTAGTGTTTTATTGCATGTTGCTGCTGCCGCTGCTGCTTGCTAACTTAATTAACAACAAATTGAAATTGAAATTGGAAGTGGAAATGGAAATGGGAAAAAAGCTTTTATCGCACGCGCCGCTGTGATGTTGCTGCTGTTGCTGCTGTTGCTGCTGCTGCTGCTGCTGCTGTTCCCGCAGCAATTCTAATTGCTCGTGGCGATCACGGCAGCAACATTAAGCTCTCGCTAACCCGCACACACACACACATACACCACTCAGAATATTGCCTGGGCTTTGGCTCAGTTTTTATTTAAGTTTGTGTCGCTTTTTTTTCGCATTCGCAATTTTTCTATTGTTTGTTTTGTTTGCTTTTCTATTATTACGCTGTGTGTTGCTGCTGTTGTTGCTGCCGCTGCTAAATTTTGTTGTCAACTATTCCGCGTACTGAGCGTTGTTTTATATATATTTTTTTTTTCGCTGTGTGGGGCTGGGCCGTTTTGTTAAGGGGTTCGTTCGGTTCTCGTCGCCCACCGCCCGCCGCTGCCGCTTTTGAATGAGAAAAGTTTGACCTTGAGGCGGCAGCAACAACAGCAAAGCAGCAACAAAACACTAAGCGAAATGTTTTTTGCTATGCGTTTTTGCTATTTGTCAAACTGATCGTCGCACTTAGTCGCTTTGGTGTTGCTGTTGTTTCGTTCTAATGTTGCTGTCTTTGTGTTTTCTTTAAGTTATTATAGTATTTGTTCTTTATTTATATATATTATTAATGATTAAATGGCTTGGCTTGTGGGTAAGATATGTGAAATATTGATTGTATTTATTTAAAAGCCGGTGAAAATATTTGAGATTTCAAAAGAGCATTCTTTGTTCAATTTTGTTTAAATACAATTATTATATTGTATATCCTAAAACTTATATAATAAACTTTGTTCTGTTAATAAATAGCAAATATAACTTTTAAAGTTATTACGTTGACAAAATATTTGTAAGGTAAGAAATGATTTATGAAATACTTTTAAAATGGTAATAAATTATTTTGAAATACTACATTTGGTTGTTTTTAATTATTTTCTTTAAGTTTCTTTTTAGTTTGAATATTTTACCAGCTTTTAAATATATTTCAATAATATTTCAGCCTAAGCGTATAATTTTTTATAAGACTTTTGCTTATTTGTAATTACTTTTTGTTTGGCAAACTTATAAACACTTTTGATTTATGCTCTTATCTTTCATCAGCATATATATATATATATTATTTTGATGTTTCATATATATCTCTGAATTTCATATATAAATTTTTGTAGATAAATTCTTTGATTTTCACTCTATATATTATTTAATTTCTTTCACTGCACAAATACATTTTAATCCTGGGAAATTGCTGGGCGGTGATCCTCCTTCCTTTGCCGCGAATTTTCATAAAAAGAGGAGACGAAAGTTCACAGGTTCGCACGAATTCGAATTCGAATTTGGTTTCGAAAGCGCGGTGCTAAAGACGAAGACACGCGTCGTATACGTATTATTTTTATGGCCTTTGCTTGCATGTGTCGTATGGGCGATATTTTGTGTTATTTTTTTTTTTTATGTGCTTTGGGCCTTTGGTTTTTATTAGTTTTATTTTTTGTTGGGTTTGTATTTTTTTTTGGTGGAGCAGAGCCCGTGGAATCGAACCGGTGCCGCCGGACTGCGAACGTTGAGTGAACGCGCGCGTCGCCAGCGTCGTGCAACGCAGCTTCGCAGCTGAGCCAAAGGCAGCGGCGCAGCAGCAGCAGCAGCAGCAGCAGCTCAGAGAAACCCACAGAAGAGGAAGAGGAAAAGAGAAGAAGCAACGGACAGTGGAATAAAAGCCAAACTTGAAACCGAAAGCCAGAAAGCCCCCCCCCACTCTATCTCTCTCACTCTCGCTCTCGCTCTGCTATTTCTTTTTTTTTTTTTTGCGCATTCCGCCTGTTTACTTTCTTTCGCGCAGCCTGCCAAAGTTCGTCGCTGCCGCCACGCTTGGCGGGAGCCGCGCTGCTACGTCGCTGCTGCTTTCGAATGCGGAAGCTGATTTTTCCGCTGTCGACGCCGGCAGCAGCAGCGCAGCGTTGTTTTGAGTGGTTAGCCGAGAAAAGCTTTCGGTTTGCGCCTCTTTGAGTGACTTTTTTGTGAGCTTAAGTTCGGGGATTTTTTTTTGTATCTTTCTATTCAAATGTAAATAAATTCCTGAGAAAGTAATTTGTTTAAATAAGAAACAAAAAAAAATAGGAGAAACTGGTTTTGGAAATAAAATTAATATACATGTTTATCCCAAAAAAATTATATTAATTATTTTGAATATTAAATACTAATAAATTAATAAAAAACAAGAAATAAAACTAACTTCGAAGGAATATTAGGATAGATATTGGAAATCGATCATAACTAAGCTTAAGATATTTGCAATCTTTGAATCTATACTTAACGATATTTTTATATGATAATTTTTCACACAATACCTTAAAAACTCATAACTAAGCCAAAAAGCATTAATTTCGTTTCGGAAAACATTTCTGTGCTAATTTTTATAGCGAAAAAAATATCAGCGTTTTCAGCCAGATTATCATCTGTATATTGATAAACCTAGTAATGAATTATAAACTTGTTCTTAAGAAAACTGTGCCACAAAAAACTTTTGAAATAATTTGAATGATTGCAAAAATACTATAATAAATTATGGAAAATAAAAATATTTCATCTATTACTAAAAAGTGCCCAACATTTCTATATATATGTTCTTCTAAAGTTCAATATTTAAAGTTGTTTTATTCTATTTGCTTTATTATTTACCCTTTTAAGCTTTTTAATGCATATCCTTTAAATGATTAATGTTAGTTAATGAAAAACAACACAAGCTTACCAGTTAAATATTATGCAAAAGACACAAACATTTAAATTCACAACAAATTGCCTTAGCAATTTATAAACTTTGGTATTCGATGCTTACCTGTAAATAAACAAAAAGATAAACATTTATTATTATATGAAATATATTATATTATGTAAAAATATTTTATTACAGAATTTAAAAGTTAAAAATATAATAAATCATCTAATAAAATCAGCAATTACCGTATAAAAACCTAACAAGTTCAATAAATTAGGCACCGCAAGTGAGAGAATTAATTGAGGAACATTTTTGGCTTGTCCAAGGGTGGCGGAAAATTTTCCATGATTGAGGGGGCCCACCTACAACGACAAACTGACATTTATCCATTTTAGCTTTCCCCGCTACCCACACAAACACACACACAACAAATTCATACAAATTATTATTCATTTTGCCTTTAAAAGGTCATTTCCAGTATATATTCAATAGCGAAAATTTCACCCAGCAAAAAAAAGGCAGCGAAAAACAACAATCAAAAGACCACCCACATTCCATTTGCCATATGCATTTACATATCATCTGCCATAAAATCTCATCAGCCTAATTCCGAAATCTAATCAAGCCAAATGCATTTTCTCTGAGGTCAGTTTTCAGTCAAAAAAAGAAAAGGGAAATGGTGGCTTAGTCGCGCTTTTCAAAAGGGATTTGTGCCAAAATGCATCAAAAAGAAGGGTGAAAGGATGTGCCAAAAAAATGAAACTGAAAATCAACAACAGCATTGAAAAGCCTCTTTGGTCTAAATGTCACACACTTTTGCCCTTATAATTGATATTAAATGTTAAATTTCAAGGTACATCTAATCATTTTCCAGTACAAATTGCCATGAAAAATGTGAATTCTTTCTTGATTAAATTTAGTACAAAATTACAACGTAGCAAAGAGAATCACTAAATACAAAGATATATATATTAATAACTTTAAAAGTAGTATAAGTTAGGTCAAAAATAGTTTTTCCTTTTTGTGTCTCTCAAAATCAATTCAATAATCAAAAGCAAATTACTAAAATAAATCAAATTTCCCTTGTGGTAGATTAGTTAGGTTGCACACGAAAAAAAAAAACAAACAAATAACAAAATATATATTTAAATAAATGTATATAGACCTGACGATCCGCGGTGCAAAGATACATTTACACATGCAGCAGATACATTTGAATTTCGTTTCCTATTCAATTTCGAACGGTCGACGTCAGCCGGCGGCATATACAATATACTCCCTATACAAATATATATATATATTTATATATAACTATATATATATAATATATAGCCCGGCTCACGTGTGCGCGACAAGCTTTCTTGACTTTTGTGCGCTTTTCAAGCTCAAACTGCGCAAAGTTCTCGGCCGCTGACGTCCGATGATATCAGCTCGTTTTGGTCTTCCGAACAGATTGACTTTTTCCAGACACTCCATATCGCTGCTCCACAATGGAATACTAATTTTCTAATACAAAAGACAGGCTTAGGAGGAAAAATTTGCGAGAAATCTCAGAACTAGTCATAGTTTTTTTTGTTTATCAGTTGTTTACAAAGTTTCCTTTGCGAGCAATTATTCTAAGGGTGGCGTCAATCATATTTCCGATTTTAGCTTTTACGTTGCAAATTAGTCAACAAAGGGATGAATAAATACAGTAGTTGCTAAGTTAAAAGAGATTTTTCCTATGACTTCAATTAGATATTTTGTACTAAGTTCCCATTTTGGGACCTACACAATTTGAAGAAATTTTAATATATGGCTTCTCATTAATATCTTATTCATATTTTGTAATACACTGACTTTCAAATACCGAATTATAAAGATGATGTTACATATTAATCATTACATTTATTCATGATAACTAAATTCTAGTTAAAAATTGAATAAATAAAGAACTTGCTCTATTTATTGCTCTTTTGCTCTATTGATCTTATCCTTTCCTTTATATTTTTTACGATTTTTCTTTCCGGTTGAATAGTAAGAGATTCAATAATATTTATTGCAATTCTTATAGATATTTAAAAATATAATAGTTTCAATTCTTTGAGAAAGTATTTAATGAAGTATTTTCTCTAGAGAATCCCTAAACCTTTATAGAGTATCTCTCCTTATCATCACCTCACCTGAGCTAGATGGTTGAAACCGCGCCTTGAGGCTGTTCAAATGATTTTGATGCTCGTTGGCTATGACGGCTGCTGCCACGGCATTGGCCACATGTTGCACGGATGACACATTGTTATTATTGTTACTGTTGTTGCTGCTGCTGTTGTTGTTGTTACTCTGGTTGTTCCCGCTGTTATTGTTATTGTTGTTATTACTATTTTGTCCAGGATTGGGTCCTGCCACGGCAGAATTATTATTTCCACTGGGATTCGCACTGGTTCCCTGGTTTCCATTTGCCACATTAGCAGCAGAGGCAGCAGCAGCTGCTGCTGCAGCTGCAGCGGCGGCAGCCACATTGCTCTGCGGATCCATAAAGGAGTTGCGCTGATAATGGGGATTCTCCTGATAGATCTGATAAGTCAACGTGGGCAGTGTCCACGAATTGTTGGTCTTGTAGTGGAAATTGCCGGTGCCAAAGATGGAGTGTGTATTGGTATTATTGTTGCCACCATTGCCAGCAGCAACGGCAGCGGCCGCTGAGGAGAGTGTGTGGGCCAGTTGGGCGGCATGATGTTGCTGCTGTTGCTGCTGTGCATGTTGCTGCTGATGTTGCTGCTGGTGGTGGTGTTGTTGTTGTTGCTGCTGCTGCTGTTGCTGCTGATGTGTGTGGTGCGGATGCAGTGTATGACCATGATGTTGCTGCTGTGCATGCTGTTGGGCGTGATGTGAGTGCTGCTGCTGTTGCTGTTGCTGCTGCTGCATAACAGCAGCCACATGTTGCTGGTGTGCATGCTGCTGCTGCTGTTGCTGCAAGTGCTGTTGATGTTGCTGCTGCTGTTGTTGCTGCTGCTGCTGTTGCTGCTGGTGATGGTGCAAGGCTGCTGTCTGCTGTTGCTGCTGCAAAGCCCAGGCATTCACATTATTGTTGGTCACACCTGATCCTCCACCGGAACCGCCGCCCGAACTCTTGCCCGAATCATTGCTGCTCACACTGCTCCGATGGTTGTCCATGGTTGATCCCGAAGATCCTGATCCTGATCCTGATCCCGATCCCGATCCCGTCATGCTGCCATCATTTCCGCTGTCACTGTTGCCGCTGCTGCTGTTGTTGCCACTACTTCCGCTGTTATTATTGGTTGTTGCCGCTGCAGCTGCCACCTGAGAGTTGAGCTGATGGAAATACTGCGACAGGGTGGCATTGGCATGCTCCTGATTGAAGAAGCTGGTGCAGGAATTCGTATCCGAAGACATGGTCACTGGTTTATTAACTGGGTCCTGACTTCACTGGTTTGCTAATTCACTGGGCTTGGTTTTTTGTTTTCAGATTTTGGCCAAGGCCTAAGTAATTACTTCCTTGTGTTGAACGTGGTTGAATTTGCTTGTTAGCAGAATAAACTTTGGGCCACGACCGAAAGTTGTGCGCATTGTCTCACAAAAGAACACTGATTCACTTGAGTTGAGTTTTTAAATGGAAATTTTTTATAGTCTTTGGTTGGGGTTTTTGTGCCCTTTTTAAATCGCCCACATCTGAAAAGATTGTGCTTTCATTTGAAAACCCAGATTAGTGTGTTGCTCCTCGTTTTTGTTTCCAATTTGTTCCAATTGATAGCCAATTATTGGTGGTTTCTAATGAAGTGGCGATCGTGGGGGAATGTTGAGAGTGATTCAGTTTAAGGAAGTGATCGGTGAGTACTGGTCTATAGATTATTGATAGTGACTGATACTGATAGTGATAATGGCGGTGATATAGATAATTGCATGTGTGTGTTGTTAGTTGGCGCTTGTTTTCCTTGGTCATGAAATGCACTTTGTTTGCGTCTATTTTTGTATGATTTCTATTTAGTTTCCATTATTTTTAATTGATGATCATGAAGATTAGGAATAAGAAAAGGCATTGTATAGTTGTATAGTCTTGCGCTTTCTTTTTAGTTCAATTAATTTTAATAATAAGATTTTTGTGACGTTCTTTGTATAGAAATTGAATCGCTAATCGGGACAAAGGCTTTACGTGTTTGTTTTAGCATTTGATTAAATACTGTGAAAATTGCAGGATGGAAATTTTGAAGAATTATCATATATAAAATCAAAACAAATACATTATTATTTGCCAAATCAATTGAATTGTAATTCTTTTCCTTCTCTCAGCCTTTTGGTGTGAATACCTTTTCTTATTCTCAGAATTTGTTTGCTGCTTAGAAATGAGATCGTTTTTTGCTTTGGGTTTTTTGTTGTTTCGGTGGTTTTTTCTTTCTTTTTCTTTCTGGGTCTTGTTGTTTTTATTGTAGTTGTAAAATTAAAATTAAATTAAACTGTTTGAAATTGTATCCGTAACTTTGGCGACGCTGGACAGAGAATATCTGAGAGATCTCCGGCTCTCAATCTTTCTCGTTCTCTCTGCTGGTTCTATCTCTCTCTCTCTCTCTCTCTGTGATCTTTTTTATTGTAACTATTTTATATTCGATTCGATGGGGCACACACACACTGACACTGACACTGACACTGGATTGATTTCACAATTGTTGCACTTGAAACTGGTGTGGAAATAAAAAATATAATTTAGCATTCGGTTGAAAATTCTTCCAGAACTTTTTTCGCCTTTTTTCTGGGAACTCAACTTGAATTAATTTTATAAATTATTTGTTGTATTTGTTTTTATTTTGCTCTTTTTGCTAAATATATTGTTGGGTTTTCCCGCTCGAGAGTGAGGAACTCGGAACGAAACGCGCAGCGACGATTTTCACATGAGAACGCGATGCGACAGAATGCCGGGCGAGCAAAGTTTCCTCGGTCTCAGTGTCTCTGGTTTTCCGCTGCCTCTGCCGGCGTCACTGCCCACCCGCAGTTGCTGCTCTGCCAGCTTCGGCGTCGCCGCTGCTTTTGGCCTGCTAAAATTGCAATTTTCTGCAAGTAAGTCGCCTTACGTAAAGGGCGGCGGCCAAAAAAAATAACCAGCTCTCCCTCTCCCACTTTAATAATTGTTTTTCGGTTTTATACATTTTTATCAAACGCTGCCACTACAAAATATTATTTGTATATAAAAAAATATTTATATACACTTGCATACAGCTGTGTTCAAAATAATAGAACTTGGGTAGGATGGTAAAACAAAAATCATAGCTTTGGAAAATTTATATCAAGTAAGAATTGGGTTTTGATAATTTATTATTACAGGAAAGATCAACAAATATATTTATTCTCATTTTGAAATTCAAAGAATTGAGTATTTATTTATTTAGTTAATTAATAATATAGTATAATTAATTTATTTTAAAATATTTTAGATAATTTGATAAATAACTATCTCCAAAAAACAACTATTTGTGTCCAACTGAAGTGCATTTAGGGGAAATTAATATACATTTTTTAACTTCAGTACCGTTTCTTTAAGATTCTTTCTAGACATTAAGTTATATCTTTTATAGAATAATATACTAATTATTTTATAAGCTAGTACACCTATTAATTTGATCACTAGTGTATTTACAAAAAAAGGGACTGCGGCAGCGCCAGCAACTGCGCTGCGGCGGCAAAGTCACGCGGATTTCAATATGACCCAAAGCCCACTGTCTAGCGCAGTTCTAAGCACGTGTTGTGGACACACACCGGGCGCACACACTCACACACACACCCGCCGGTAAAAATTAATTGAGAGAGGGAGAGAATTGCACGTTGAACGGCAGGCAAGCGTACTCAAAAGACACAGATACAGATAGAGATACAGATACAGATACAAATACAGATACGGCTCAAAGGTTTCCAGTCGCTTCGCACTGCCTGCCTCTCATTTGTTACAGTTAAACAAGCTATATTTGTCTGTATATATATCAGATATATTATATATCATATTTATATACGCAATTTAAGCCAAGTGCGTGGCTGATTTCCTTATTCCCCTATATATGTATGTTTTATTCGGCACTGATGCGTTTGCAACACGTGACGTATGCGTAATATGGCCAGAATCGTTTCTCTGTGCCACCAACTAATTAGCGCTGCGTCATGGCAAGTAAGCGGATCTATTGGCGGGGATATTTGGGGGTACTTCACCTCAGACCGAAACCCAAGTCGTAGTAGCTGCCAATGGGGCGTATACTTGATATTTGCTAAACTATTGGCGTAGGTCACAGTATCAGACAGCAGCAGCAGCAGTGCTTTCTTAGAATATATATTTTGAAAATAATTCCAACGATTTTCAGTGGGGAATAATACCAATAATACTTATATAAATTTCACGTTGGCCTAGGTCCGTTATTGTGTCTTGGGTTATTTAGTTTTTTTTGGGGATTCCCACTACTACCAAGATTTGTGCAATAATTATACATAATTTTTAATTAGCATTCAACATTGATGTAGGTCATAGAATGTTCTTGGAAAAATATGATGAAGCTCCCATAAAATTGTTTATTTAAATGCTAATTTAACTCTTGTGAGTTAAATAATAAATAAATTAAATAGTTGTAAAGTAAATTAAGTTGTATTATCAAATCAAGTTTTATAAAGCTTTATACAAATATAAACTATTTTTAGATTATTATTTCTTATATTATTAGTATTGATTTTATATATTTTATATTGATTTGATGTTTGTTTAATTTTATAATCGATTTTATTATAAATGGTACTCGACTTGACTTTGGAAAGAATATCCCATTATTTATATTTCTTATAGATACTTGATTAATCTGGATATACATATATATACAAGATATAATATTTTACTTTAATTTGTTGAACAGAAATTAAATATTTTAATAAATAAATAAAAATAATTCTCCACACAAAGATACAAATTGAATAAGAGATTTATAGGTATTTACCTAAAACCTTAAGAAAACTATTTGAAAACAAGTTAAAATCGTTTTATATTTTTGTCTATATTTTTATAGATTACCCAAAATTTATCTTTTTAAATATTTGTACTTGCTTTATACATGTTTTTGTATAAATCCATTTGAAATTTATGTTTCTATTGTTATAACAATTCAACTAAAATCCCAAAAATATACCTATACATTTTCCGGACCAAAGAAAAACATGTCCCTTTCTTTGTACTTTTTGATTTAATTTTTCCACCCCTGCAAAATTGGGGGAGAGGGGACATCTGCAAAAGCATGTTTGCTTCTGGCCGGTCACCTGTTTTCCCAGGCGATACATTCGAATATCGAGTATACGCCCCGTGGCGCCGTGCAAAGTTGGCTATTTCTGGAAGTGCCAAAAAAGCAACAAGTCAGCGGGACGCAACTTCGTGAGCCGAAGCGAAGCGACACGAACTTCGGCTGCAGCTTCGTCTCCGGCTTCGGCACCTGCCAATGGCAGAAGGATGTGCTGTCGGCAAGCGCCATTGGCCGGGCTTATATGCCGAGCCATCAAATTCTAGGGAACCAATCGCAAAAATCCAACAATTGCAGTTGCTCAGCTGACGCTCTGCCGGCGTCGCCTGGCGACTGCGAAGTCGGCGGCAACAGCGACGCCTGACGTTGTCAGGTTTTCTGTTTGTTTTGTTGCCAGTTGTTGTATTTTGCGTTATCACGTTTCGCTACCACGTGCGCCGGTCCCCCCGTGCACTAGTGTGTGTGTTCACACACACACACACACATTGCAAACGGATGAATGAGCGGGAGAGAGAGAGTAGAAAAAAGAGAGCAACTGAAAACACTAAAAACAAACCCAATTGAGACTGAGAATGAGAACGAAGAAGACGAAGCTGTTGCTTGGGTTTATAAATAGCAATTTAAAGCAACTCACAAACACACACACACTCGCTCATCGAATCAATGACTCACACACACACACACACCCCTCTGTGCATCTGCAGAACAACAAGAAAAAGGAAAACATAGGAAAAGCAGAGTGCTTAGAAATAAAAATAAAGTAAATTGTGCAGTGTAAATATCGGAAGCAGGGGAGAAAAAAGGGAAACAGAAAGTAAACAAATTAATGCAAGGTTAAACATTTTGCAAAAATTATAAATAAAATTGGAAAATTTAGTTAAATATTATTTCTTTTATATATTATATTTATTTTTGATTATATCTAGGATTTGCTTAATTTAATTGTAGTAGCAGAAAGGATAAACTTACATTAAAAAGAAAATTTTCAATTTACCTATGTGAAAAAACTAAACAAAAAATTATATTGTATTTATAATATATAATTTTCTTTATTTGTGTAGTAATACATTTAGTATTTAACGCATATTATATTTAAATGTATATATATATGTGTTTATAAATATAAAATGTTAAATACTAAAGTGTAAAATACTAAATTAATTGCCACAAATAAAGAAAATTCATTAAAATTGAATTTTTTAAAGGAAAATACATTTGAATAGTTTAAAATATAGTTAAAAGATATAATATTTCGAAATTTAGATGCACAAAAATAATAAACTTTAATAACCAATCTAAACTGTATTATTACTAATATATCTCTATCGATCATATTCAAAATCAGGAGGTAATATACCATTTTAAGTGATATATTTTATGTAGTTAATACATTCTTTGCTATTTTCCTTTGTAATTTATTATATATTTCCTAGAGTGAAAATGTTGTGAAAACTTTCCGTAATATTTCAATGAAATGTCGCCGCAAGTTTAAAGCACTCGCAAAGCGCAACAAATCAAACCTTAATTAAACATTCTGCGATTTGCTTGCTTACACTGAAACCGTCTAGAGGTCTGTAGGTTTGCTATATACTATATAGTAATATATTACTATATATATGTGGTACTTATAGTACGTCGAGTACATATAGTTCTGTAATTCTGTGTCTCGGTAAATGGTTCTGGTATGGCGACGTTCAAGTCATTATACACGTGTTTAGTGCAGCAGGTCGTAAATTAACATTTTCCTAAATAATTATTTAGAAATGCTGAAATGCTTAAACGAATTTTTTAACGACACCACAACTGGCTTATTAAAAAGGCCCTCTCCCAGCCAGCTGACCTAGATAGACCTACTAAAAAAAATATTACCTGTTGAGGGTTGGCATAAGGGTTTAATATGGTTGTTAGACTAAATCAGAGCAGAGATACTAACTAACTAGCACTCGAGTACCCTTAGTTTCTCTCAATCATTTTTAATTGTCTGCCAGGGTGAGTAATTGCAAATAATACGGAACAAAGGGTATTCTATAGGCTGTCACGATTGATAAGTATTTATTGTATATGAAAAGCGAAAAAAAGGTAATTAATAGAGACTGGGCAAAAACTTTTTACGGATTATAAAAATAACTTGTAATAAAAATGTTTT